TCTTCACTGCTCAGAGATTATTCAGTTGTCTTTCCGGTCAACTGTACTGTGAGATCTTGATCCTTCTGTTGTTGTAGCATCATAGTGCTCATTTGACAAGAATGGGATGCAGTGGAACAACATCAGGACCACTATGACAGAAATAAGAGCAACTGTCCCTATGACACGCTTAGAACGCAAACCTCAGCTGACCAATGCAGGCAAAGAGCAAATCCCATATAGGCCATGAGGATCAACCTTAGAAAGCCAAATAGCTTTTGCCTCAAGGTGATCTGTGGCCTGTTCTACCTTTCTGTTTCACTGATCCAGGTGCAGTATTGGCAGTGGCAGAGGCCTTTACCAACCAACAAGAAATCTACAGCAATGAGACTGTCCATCACTACTCATGCCAATGAGTTGAGACTGATAGGTGCCCCATCTAGTGAAGAAGTGGCATTGCTAATGACTTCTGCCAGGGTTAATGATAAGTTTATGACAACAGGATTCCCACAGATGAGAACATTGCTCTGATTGTTTGCATAAACAATGAGTCAGTAACTCCCCAGTTAGAGTGCTGAATAACCAAGGGTGATGTTACGGTTTTTGTAGTTTTACACCAACCAGTTTGTGGTAAATCATGACAGCAGCAACCCTAGGAAAACCAACGCACCATTTGTATGTATGGTTAATGTGTGGCAGATGTTTAAAGGTATTGCAGGATATTGGTGCTTTTCCTTTCCCCAGTGCACTTCACTGATCTGAAGTGAGGGATTTTTTTGTCTTGATTTTTGTTTTGCAAGATTGAACAGTCTTTTTTCCCAGTGTCCCTTCTGTTTACAGTATCTATAATTGCCCTTGTCAGTAGCTGACTGGTTGGGTAGGGGCCACCCAGCAGTTTGATCGGCAGGGCCACAAGTTAATTTTGAGTCCTGTCTTATTTTTGTTCTAAAGCACTTTTAAAATGTCTGCCAGGTGTTGTAGTTCAGGTTAAGGGGTTATTTCCCATTCTCATTTCTGTTTTTGATTAGGTCTCCAATTTCAGGTTTAGCTCCTTGAAAACAAGCAATGAAAGGGTTAATTTCTAGACTCCCAAATGGTACAATGCATTTTCTAGCCTATCTCAAAAAACATACTGTAGGTTCATCTTTTTTTTTTTTTTTTTTTTTTTTTTGCATGACACTGGATTATGGTCTAATCTTTCTTTAGTGGGGGGGCGGGGAACGTTTGAGGTATGGCTTTTAGAAGACTTTGCCCTATTTTGAGCCCCTTTGTTAACTCTCAGTTTCATTGTGGACGGTGTGATCCTAGGATTCCTTTTGGGGGAGTCTAGTCAACTTTTGCCATTCAGGATTTAGCATGCAAGGTTCTGGTCAATGTGTGTACAAGTTGATATGGGTTAGGTAACACTGGGTCACATGCTTCCCCCACCACTTTTTTTGAGATAGGGTCTTGCTCTGCCACCAAGGCTAGAGTGCAGTGGTGCAATCACGGCTCACTGCAGCCTCGACCTCCTGGGCTCAAATGATCCTCCCATCTGAGCCTTTCGAGTAGCTAGGACCACAGGCACACACCACCATGCCTGGGTTTTTGTTGTTGTTGTTACTGTTTTCCATAGAGATGGAGATCTCACTATGTTGCTCAGGCTGGTCTCGAACTTGTAGGCTCGGGCAGTCCTTGCTGATTCACCTTCCAAAATGATGGGATTACAGGTGTGAGCCATAGTGCCTGGCCAAAGTATTTTTAATTATTTTATGAATAGTTGTTGATCTTGCCCGGGTTTGGGGAAATCCTTAATTTTGGTTATTAATTTAGCTTGGGTCTAAGGTTTAAATTCCACATTTGTCTGTATATGGGGCTCATGGAGGGATAGGCCTTCAGAGTGGCAGCCAGCATTCTGGGGTCATAGGAGGGTTGTTGTGAAAGGGCAGGGATCTGGACAAGAGAAAGAGAAGGGAAGTGTGGACAGATGTGTGGAAGGAAAGAGATCAGAACGATAAGGGGGAGAAGAGGGAAAGCTGTATTAGGGAAGCAAATGGATGACAAGCAGGAGAAGGATTTACTAGGAAAATGAGTCTAGGTTGTTGCTGCTTAAATTTGCCAAATCGCTCATTAGCTTTAACCAAAGAGTCTTTCAGGGAAGCACTTTTGAATCAGAATATCATTTGGAGACCTCTGACTACCAATCAGAAAAGGCTGCTCACTGGGCCTGAGAAATCTTATTCTCTTTTATTTCTTTTTTTTTTTTTTTTTTTTTGAGATGGAGTCTCACTCTGTCACGCAGGTTGGAGTGCAGTGGTGCGATCTCAGCTCACGGCAAGCTCTGCCTCCCAGGTTCATGCCATTCTCCTGCCTCAGCCTCCCGAGTAGCTGGGACTACAGGCGCCCGCCACCTCGCCCGGCTAGTTTTTTGTATTTTTTAGTAGAGACGGGGTTTCACCGGGTTAGCCAGGATGGTCTTGATCTCCTGACCTTGTGATCCGCCTGTCTCGGCCTCCCAAAGTGCTGGGATTACAGGCAAGAGCCACGGCGCCCGGCCTCTCTTTCATTTCTAAGGTATCTCTCAAATGAGCAATTTTGTTCAATTAGATGTTCTCCAAATAAGATCTTCACCAAATCAACCTTGGTGAAGTTAATGCTTTTCAGAGATGGGCATGAGAATTGGAATTATTAAGAGAGTATATGTAAGAAGCAGGAGTTTTTCCTGGAGGAGGAGAAGATTTAAACTTAAACAACACCATGAATGCTGGCTGGTTAGGCTGGCGAGAAATGGAGTTTGTGTCTCTCAGGACATGAAAGTGAGATGGAAGGAGAACCTCATTCAGTTTTACCAGAAACCCACAGCAAAGTTTGTCCAAGTAGAGGCCGGTGTGATGAGAACTGCTAACTCATGGGCTGCAGGGCTGGCTCAAATAAGAGGCTTATGAGCCCCATGCCTATGTCCTTTCCTATGGTTTCCTTATGACAAGCAGCACTTTTTGACAGCACAACACTAAACACTAACACAAAATACAGTGAAAAGGGATGAAAAAGAATGGCCTGAATCCACTAGAGATGCCAGACAAATGAGAATCTATAACAACCAGAGTACAAAACTGAGAATAAGCCAGAGACCTCCACGCAGAGTGAGGTTAGCCCTAGTGCTGACCACATCGGTGCACTTGATAGGCCGAGAACATGGAGGCACAAGGGGCCTCTGGGTGGCACAATGGTTGGAAGCCTGGGGACCTCAGGTACAAGCAGTACAGACTTACCATGGGATCACCAGGAAAACTGTGGAAACCAGCAAAGGCTATTTATTCACAACTTGCTATAGCGGGGGAACCAGCCAGCATCACTTGCTTTTGGTAGAAATTTAAAAGGCCCGAAAGGGATGGGAAACTTTTTATAGTTTTTTTTTTTTTTTTTTTTTTTTTTTTTTAAGTATCAGATTGGAAGTCGTTGGGGGGAAATGTTTTTAATTACATATTTTCTGATACTAAACCCAACACAGTTGTACTTTAATATTTTCCCTAGGGGAACTACTTATTTTACAACTATATCCCAGTGTATCACTCATGATCAGCCACATAATTTGAATCATGCATTATCTTCTCTCCACAAATTACATACATTTAGTATTTGGCTACTTAAAAAAATCATTAAAAAGTAACAATTTAAATCCATTGATGGGAGAACCTCAGTTAGTTTAAAAACAACTGCCAGGCGGGGTGACTCATGCCTGTAATGCCGGCACTTTGGGAGGCCGAAGCTGGAAGACGGCTTGAGCCCAGGAGTTCCAGGCTAGCCTAGGCAACACAGGGAGGCCCCATCTCTACCACAAAAAAAAAAAAAAAAAAAAAAAAAAAACCTAAAAATTAGCCAGGCGTGGTGGCATGCACCTGTGGTCCCAGCTACTCGGGAAGTTGAGGCGAGAGGATCTCTGGAGTCGGAGGTAGGGAGGCTGCAGTGAGCAGTGATGGCTCCACTGCACTCCAGTCTGGGCGACGGAGCGGGACCCTGTATCAAAAAATAGATGAATAAATAAATAAAAACAATTCTAATGGAAGATTCGAAGAGCAATTTAAAACATGTGGCAACTAACCCTGACCCTGCGGCTTCAGTCTGCTCGCCGCTAGCTGAGGGCCGTGGCCGCTGCACAGGTGCTTGGGAAGATTCAGGGATTCAGGCAGCGCCCGCCGCCCGTGTGCCAGACGTGCGGCCACACGGTAGGAGCAGTAAGACGTATCCAGGGAGAAAACAAGTCCATGAATGAGAAAGGAAACCCAGCGTTTGTAGGACTAGGAGGACAAAGAAAAAAATGCTGGCGGCGGAGGGCGAGGCTCAGCTGTGCGTGGCAGATGGGAATTTGCTCGGTGGCGGCTCCTCTTTCTGGAGGGTTTCCCAGCGTCCCCTCCCCCGCCAGCCCGCGGTGACGCGCCCGGTGCCCACCAGAGCCGGCTCTCGGCGCCGCCGCGCCTTCGCTCGCCCGCTTAGGCCGTGCTTGGGGTGGCGTGGGAGACAGAGTGCCCGGAGAGGACCCTGGAACACACAGTGGCAAGGAAGACGCCTAGAAAAGGGCTTCTCTTCCCACTCACGAAAATCAGTGTGTGAGCTCGAAGCCATTTCCCAGCGTGTCCGCCTCAACTCCCTCCTTTAACAGATGAGGGAACTCCTCCAGGGAAATGCAATGATGCGCCCACGGCTGCCGGCGGCCCAGCGCCAAAGGACGTTCCACAGCCCTGGGGCCCGAAGTCCTCGGCTCGGCTGCCACGCAGGCCCCGCGGCCCCGCTCGGGCTCCCAGGATCGGCTCCTGGGCGGGACAGCGCTGCGGTCCACGAGTCCGGGCAGGGGCGCCTGCAGGCCGGAGCGGTTTCCTGCCTCGGGCATTCTGCTGCCTCCACAAACGGTTTTTGGAGGCACACACACAGATACTTTAACACGTCGGTGATGAATCGGCACCCAGCTGCCAGTGGCGGAGCTTCCTGGGCGGGGCCGCCGGCGCGAGGCAGCCTCATTTCCTCGCGCGCGCCGGAAGTGGCCGCTCAGGCGCGGCGGCGCGCCCGGGGGTGGGTGGCTGAGGCGGCGGCGGCGGCGGCGGCGGCCTGCCGCCCGGGGGTGCCAGCGGCGCAGGAGGCTGTGGAGCGCAGAGCGGGCGAGCGCGGTGAGTACCTGGCCCGGCCTTGCCCGCCCGCCCGCGACTCCCGCCGGCTCGAGCCCGGGCGGTGCGGGCGCCGGAGCTGCGGGCTCCTGTCTGGTCGGGTGGGGTCGCCTCGCGGACGGGTCCTGCGGGGGGCCCTGTCCCTCAGGGATGAGTCTGCCGGAGTAGGCTCCGGATTTGGGGAGAGCGCAGCCAGAGACGGTTGGTTCGCGTGTCAGTGTTGGTCTTTTTTTTTTTTTTTTTTTTACCAACTCATCACCATCTCTGCTCCTCTCAGTGGATAAACTTTGGTCAGCGGTGACCTTGTCATCGCGTTAAAATAGTTCTGCCCGCAGCCCCTCTTTATCTGTAGATGGCAGAGCGAGCGCCGGTAAAGATGCTTGGTCGTGGAGGGCTCAGTGGGGCGGAGGAGACGGGAAGCCTCTGGTGTTGTCGGAGAATGCACCTTAAAAATGACCCTACCCTTGAGCAACGCAGGAAGCACAACAGTGATACTTCTGTTTGTGATGATGGTATTGGCGGTATGATAGTTTGATTATGCATCTGAAGCTTTTCTTCCTGAGCCCTTGGCTTGTTAAACTTGGAGGCGTTTTCTAGCGTGCTTTTGAGATAGATGTGGGATGTCGTGACGTTTCACCGTCATTCAAGGCTCGCAGGAGCAGGGCCTTCATGTCTGGTAATTAATGTTTTTTGAATGTTGTATTAAAATAGTATTTTCGATCTTGGAAGTAAGAAGCCAAGTATTTTAGGACTGAGTGTTAGCGTTCATTTTGTACTATTATTCTTATACCAACTTTAAACATAAAGTTGTCACGTAACTAAAAGAATGAAAAAAGATGTTGAATTTCCAATATTTGTGGCTCAGAGGATTTTGGCCTAACTAAGCACAGTTCCAACCAGTTTAGAAGCTGCATTTTTCTCTTTGTTTTTGTTGAGGCATACAATACATATGAAATCAATAAGAGCACGAATCTTTTTTTTTTTTTTAATACTTTAAGTTCTAGGGTACATGTGCATAACGTGCAGGTTGGTTACATATGTATACTTGTGCCATGTTGGTGTGCTGTACCCATCAACTCGTCAGTACCCATCAACTCGTCAGTACCCATCAACTCGTCATTTACATCAGGTATAACTCCCAATGCAATCCCTCCCCCCTCCCCCGTCCCCATGATAGGCCCCGGTGTGTGATGTTCCCCTTCCCGAGTCCAAGTGATCTCATTGTTCAGTTCCCACCTATGAGTGAGAACATGCGGTGTTTGGTTTTCTGTCCTTGTGATAGTTTGCTAAGAATGATGGTTTCCAGCTGCATCCATGTCCCTACAAAGGACACAAACTCATCCAAGAGCACGAATCTTAATTGTGCAGCTCAATGAATTTTTACATACTTATTACCCTGTGGAATCACTAGATATATCAAATTATAACCGTAGAACATTTCCATCATCCTGTTTCCCTGTGCTTCTTCCAAGTCAATTATATCCTTGTTTTCCCATCTGTATTCTAACTTCTCTTATCAGCTTTTAGTTTTCTGTGTTTTGAGCTTCATGTTAATGGATTGCATAGTATTCTGAGCATATTGTTTGTGAGACACACCCATGCTATTTCATGGTATTGTATTATTATTGTGTAATAGTCCATTGAATAATATGTGACTACTCTTCAGTTGATGGACATTTTTGTTCCCAATTTTTGTATATGATGTATTTTGGATATTAAGAATGCTGTGGGCCCGGCATGGTGGCTGAGGCCTGTTATCCCAGCGCTTGCAGAGGCCAAGGCGGGTGGATCACTTGGTCAGGAGTTCGAGACCAGCCTGGCAAATATGGTGAAACCCCATCTCTACTAAAAATATGAAAATTAGCCAGGCATGGTGGTGGATGCCTGTAAGCCCAGCTACTGGGGAGGCTGAGGCAGGAGGTGGAGGTTACAGTGAGCCAAGATCGTGCCTCTACACTCCAGCCTGGTCGACAGAGCCTGACTGAGTCTCAAAAAGAAAAAAAAAAAGAATACTGTGGGCATCCTTGTAAATTAAATGTCTTGGTGAGCATCTGTATGCATTTCTGTCAGCTATGGAATGACTGAGTCATGGCAGAAAATTACCAACATGGAGTCATTACCAACCTTACCATTACCAACCAAAGGCAGAAAATTTAACCAACATGGAGTCACGGTTTTTTTAATGTAATAGAATTACTTATTTTAACTAATATAACATTCAAGGTTGGTTTAAAAAAAGCATAACTATTAAGAGCTCAAGACGTAAGTGATTCATTCATTACCATGTTATTATTTACCCGTTGGATTGCACATTTATGACTGTCTTCTGTCGAACTGTCATTGTTTGTTTAACTGTTAGACAAGTCTGTTAGAACTGGTGAGGATCTGACTCTGAAGTTTAGCATAACGTTTACGTAAGAACTATGTTACTCAAGTTAGTGGTTTTTTAGAGGAAATGAAATACCAAAGGATATGACTGAAAGTGGATTGAAGAAGCATGGGACTGCAAGTCAAAGAACTTAACATTGTTATTGTCATGCTACACAAGCACTAGGTATAAGTGTAAAATTGAATTATAAGACTAGTTACAAATGTGAATTTACAGCAGGAGTACAGTGATTTTCATATGGACTGAGATACTACTAGCACATTTATAATGTGAACACACAACAAAAATCACTAAAAATTTATGGGAAATCAGTAGCATCTAAGAAAAGCTTCAGACCAAACAAATACAAGAACTAGGCACTGAAGCAGTGGAGCTAATGTAAGACAAAAGAAAACTTTAAAAAAAATATTAGTATCTTCAAATTTGTTAAGGTATTATGCCTACTGAACACATACAGGGTGACATGAAAAAAAAGCAATCAATTCTTGAATATTTAAACATGGAAAGTAGGAAAGAGCCAGGTGTGGTGGCTCATGCCTGTAATTCCAACACTTTGGAAGGCCGAGGCAGGAGGATCGCTGGATCCCAGGAGTTTGAGACCAGCCTAGGCAACATAATGAGATCCTGTCTCTACAAATAATTTTTTTTTTTTTTTTTTTTCTAGCTCTGTTGCCCAGGCTGGAGTTCAGTGGCATGATCTCGGCTCACTGCAAGCTCCGCTTTCCAGGTTCATGCTATTCTCCTGCCTCAGTCTCCTGAGTAGCTGGAACTACAGGTGCCCGCCACCGCGCCTGGCTAATTTTTGTATTTTTAGTAGAGATGTGGTTTCACCGTGTTAGCCAGGATGGTCTCGATCTCCTGACCTCATGATCTACCTGCCTCGGCCTCCCAAAGTGCTGGGATTACAGGCATGAGCCACCGCACCTGGCCACAAATAATTTTTAAAATTAGCAGTATGGTAGTGCACACCTGTCATCCCAGCTGTTCAGGCAGTGGAGGCTGCCACTGCACTTCAGCCTGACAGTGAAACTGTCTCAAAAAAAAAAAAAAAGGAAAGAAAGAAAGAAAAAGAAAGTGGGAAAGACTAGCCATGACATGCAAAGTAGATCTAGAAGAGCCAATATACATCTAATTGGAGTTCCAGGAGGCGTTAGAAATCGGAAAAGAGGAAATAACCACAGAGATAACAGACATCCTGAAGGTAGGAGTGTCCAGGCAGAGTCTTGGGCAGCCTGAGCCAGGGAGAAATAAGTATCAGAGGACAAAGGACTGGCAAATATAGATCAACCCTTCCCTCTCTGGTCTGTTTCTTCATCTATACAGTGGGGATGATCAAGAAGTGTGCATTTTTCTGAGAGCTTATGGAAGGATGTATTAGGTTTGCTGACTGTTCCCCACTCTTCTTCCCTACCAGCTCACAGCAGGGATTGGGGTTGTGTGTCCTTATATGATGTTTAACCTTTTTATCACATGTATTTATTTTGTGAAATTTTTAAAGTGCAACAATTTTTTAGAAGTTAAAGCAGGGATTGCCAGTATGGCTGGCTACCTATTTTAGTATAGCCTGTGATCTAAGGCTGGCTTTTACACTTTTTATTTTTTTTTATTTTGTATTTATTTATTTATTCATTTATTTTTGAGACAGAGTCTTGCTCTGTCGCCCAGGCTGGAGTGCAGTGGTGCAATCTCAGCTTACTGCAACCTCTGTTTCCTGGGTTCAAGTGATTCTCCTGCCTCAGCCTCCTGAGTAGCTGGGTTTACAGGTGCACACCACCATGCCCGGCTAATTTTTGTATTTTTAGTAGAGACAGGGTTTCATCATGTTCCTCAGGCTGGTCTTGAACTCCTGACCTCGTGATCCGCCTGCCTCATCCTCCCAAAGTGCTGGGATTACACGCGTGAGCCACCGTACCCAAGCCCTACATTTTTTAATGCTTTGGGGAGAAAAAAAAAATAATGCTTTTTTGTGCCGCAAAAGCAGAATCAACTGGTTGTGACATTTACTGTCTGACCTAAAATATTTGCTGATTCCTGGTTTAGAGGTCAGAAATGGACTTATGCATATATAGGAATTTTGCTAATGATAAAGGTGGCATTTCAAACTAGTGACAAGAGCATGGATTGCATGATAAATGGCAAGAATTAGCTATCTATTTGAGGGAAAATTTACTTTTATTAGGATTACTTCGGGTAGGGAAGCTAAAATCAAGAAGTAGGAAAAGATTAATAGATTTGAGTCTATTACCACTACCACCACCACCAACAAAACTTTGCTTAATAGGAAATAATACCTAACACTTACTGAGCACTTATGCTTGTCATGTTTTACTTGAATAAGTGTTATAATTATACTCTAAGGTAGGTTCTGTAATTATTCCCACTTAACAGAGGAGGAAACTGAAGTTTACATATATTATGGAATTTGTCTGTAATGAAGAGTAGGAAACCATGATGCAGATCTTTGAATTCAGGCCATCTGGCTCCCAAGCCTATTGTAGACAAGACAAACTGAGAAAAAATATTTGCAACATGGTAACACCATTTTGTAGGTATTATCTACATCAGCACATAAAGATGTATGTAATTCCTTTAAAATATTCTGTTGTGTAAATGT